GCTATCTGACTTTTTTACAGAGTTTAAGATTTCAGCTGAAAACCCCCTAAGACAAATGATAGTCACAGTGACAGTTTGCTAGCATATGGTGCATATTATCCATTAGAAGAGTGGGCATGGCATCAAGGATTCTAATAGCTTTGTTTCAGAACATAAGCTTGTGTGAACAAAAGGAAATAACCTGCCTTGCCTTTCCATGCCTGATTAGCTTTGGCAAATACTGCACATTGAAGATGACGATGAATTGACGCTATCAGCAGCCCTAAACCATCAGATAAATAGAGACAACCTTCTGGATAACTTGTTCTCCAGGTACAGAATTTGTTTTCTAAAACAATCATCTCCTTTCCTTTTAGAAAGCACTTATGTAGGATTCACATCTTGAAAATTAACTGTGAAAAGTATTTTTTTGTGTGAATTGTTAAAAACCCAACCATGCCACTTGGGCTCTGAACTCTTCAAGATGTAAGAGAGCACTAATAAGTTCCTGGTCCAGAGAAGTGCACAGATCCTTGAACAGATAGGAATGACTGAGAAAAATTATTGTACTATCACGTTTAAGCTTAACAGTACATGAGAAGTGTTTGAAGAAATGTTTAATCATCATTAATGATATATTATAAAACTCAAAATTAACAGATAAATGTAGTGTAATTATAAGTAAATAAAAAAAAACCATTCCAAAAAACATGTGTTTCTACATTAGGAAAATGTAGGAATATTGAAAAATTGAGAGATATTAGAAAAATAGCAAACATCAAAGACATTTATGACATATACATATGTTGACATCATAAGATGGAACATGTGTGACCACAGCCTTGCTAAGGGTGTGCTCACTGACAGTCTCAGCTCAGATTTCAGTAACAGACATGTACTCAAGGAAAATTGTCTGGCTCTCTATTCTTTAAATCACAATTAAATGAAATGCCTGTTTAAAAGCCCTTAATAGTGTCAATCAAAAATGCATATTTTCAGGTGGAGTTATGTTAAAGTCAAGCTTTCTCTGCAAAGGCGTTTTCCTACAAAAATATTCCTTTGTGTTTTTTACCCTCTGTAGTTAAACTGCATTATTTAAGGACTAACCTAGCCAGGAGCTATGTAAAAAAGTCAAGAGGGTTCCATTATCATTTGCTTAACCTTTTTCTGTAGACCCCTTCTGTCAGGCTGTTGGTTTTCTGTAAGCCCCATACAATGGTTTCAAGAGACAAGGGATGTTCACCTTGCATTTCTCATTACTGACAGTACCTACTCCTGCTGTGGCTCCAGCTGTATCCCTCTGCAAATGGAGCCTTTTCAGAAAGCACCCAAACTTTGAGGCACTGGAGGTGCTGTTTCTTGAGATGAGGGAGTTGCCAGCATTGTAAATAGATCAGGTGGACAAGGTAGGAAAAACCCAGCCCTGGTCCCCAGGCTGGCCACAGTGACTGTACCTGCTGTTCCTCTGTCCTTTGTCATACAAATACTTTGCATCTTCACGTTGTTGTGATATAATTATTGAAGGAATTACTTCAAAGAAGGAAGCCTTTAGGGTGGCAGGAGAGGTGGGCAGAGGGAGCAGCGAGCGCTTTGCTGGCTGTGAGCTGTTTAAAAGGTCAGGGGCTCCTGTCACTGTGCTGGCTGGTTGCTAAGCTGCCGTGGATTTTTGTGCTCCTTTTCCTGGCTAGAGGGACCTTGTGATGAGGTGCAAGGTTATGGCAGTACCTTTTCAGTAACCTCACCCCCTCCTTTCTGCTTGCTGAGTGACTGGGTAAGGGAGGTGCTCTCAGGAGCACTTGCTTTCTTTCTAGGCTTCTTTCTAGCTGCTGAAGCAACTGATCTTTCTAGGCTTCTTTCTAGCTGCTGAAGCAACATCTGCCAAATTAAACCTAATGTTTTAACTTGGGGGAACAGAGTCAATGCTTAGTGAGCTGCCAGGGCACATTGGGTAACTAAGGCTTTTTAAGGGATCAGCGGAATTTGTACCATCTTCACCCCACTTGCATCTTCTTTGAACTCACAGCAAAGCACATTTACTTAGTGCTTGGGTGAAAATTATCTAGCAAAGTATAGAACTGTTTAATGAGATTAAATTTTAACCCTGCTTTCCTTCAGCTGTCTCAAGCAGCAGGAACTTTCATGTACATCTGAGATATGTTGTAATAGCAGCCAATGCTGCCAGGCCTTAGAGTGGAGCAAATATTCAAAAATAGTCTTATCCTATACCAGAAAAGTTGAGAAAAAGATGCAACATGAGAGCAAACTGGCGTTTGGGAAGGGGGAGGATATGATTGCTCAGATTAAGTGTGCTTTCTTGCTGTTCAACTTCATTTGCAGAGTCCACAGCCTGTACTATCCACCGTAGAGATAATTAGAAAACAGCACTGGGGTGTAAGCAAATGAAGTTTCCTATCCTCCAAATGAAATTCTAAGGTTGACATAATAACTGCTTCTAGACATGTGCAGCAACAAGAAAGGTAATAATTTAACTTGCCTGTTAGTTCAGTGGCTGTGAAAGGCACAGCACTCCTTGAAGCAAGTGGGGAGTCAAGGAGATGAGGTCTGCACTAATCTGCTATAGGGAGGCTGGGTGGCCTTTTCATGTTGGCCAGGCATTTTTTATAATATGGTTGTTTTCAGTTGCTTGCACCCTCATTAAATGTTTGCTGGCAGGGTTCTGGGAAAGTAACCATGTAACCAAACACCTAATCTATGTTTACTTAGCCTGATATGCCATCAAATTCTTCCCAAGTACGTTAATGTACAGCTAAAAATGTGAACTCAACCCTGAGCTGAAGCTTGCCTGGGAACTGGGGCCAGAGATCTAGGCTGAGGCCATGCCACCCAGCTACTGCTGTTTGTGCATTAAAATTAGTTAGGGCTCTGCATGTGCAGATCTGAAAATTTTTGTATATATTTCTTCTTATTGAAGGGTTATTGTTATCCATTCTGGCATTCCTGGAAGTTCCTCCTTCACCCTAAATGATCAAAACTTGAAAAAGAAAACCAAACCAACCAACCAACCAAACAAAAAAACCACCCACCAAAGGAAAAAAAAACCCCACCAAAGCAAACCCCCCCGCCCACTTCATTCCAGTAGAAGGGGCAATAAAAGATACTGCTCAGGCCCAAAATAAGGAGCTTCTCCTAGCAAAGACTCTGCAGAAGTGCTCAGGATCCCCCTGTAATGGATCACGTGCTTATGCAAACTCCACCTACCTATATTACTAAGCTTTCAACATGTTGTGGTTTTTGTTTGTCATACCTGTTTCCTCCGATTTTGCTCACCTTTGAGTTTGGCAGTGTGTATATGTTTTCTTAAAATAATTCTGGTTTTGATTTTGAGCTGCAGCTCTGGATATCTCAAGGAGGTCACTGATGGACACTTCTCAAAGGTTCAGATGTGGTGGTGTTTAGGGCTAGTTCTAGAGTGTCTTGCCCTTTTGGGTCAGGAAGCTCTGGGCTTTGCAGTCAAGCCTTGAGCCTCACCTGTCTGAGCTGCTTCAAGGACTGAGGATGCACAGTGTTAACCATGTAGCTGCTTTCTTGAATTGCCATTTTAAGTGGCTCTGTAGCCCTCTGACCTGCCTTAACAAGTAACACTTCCTGGGAAGCCTGTGGTTCTTGTCAGTGGGAATCTTGCATTCTCAGCATCTGTTGTAGCTAGGTGAGATGGAAGGTATTTGAGCTTTCTCTTCAAGCAAAACTGAAAGGCATCCCAGATACTCTGCTTATGTCTTATGAGTCTTTGATCCATCCAGAGGCTAAGGGCTTGCTGGTGATGGCAGAAACATGGACTGAAATGTGGCACTGACAGCCAGCATTGTGTGTTTCTGCACTGAGAAAATTGGGGCACTTCAGGTCCCTCGGCTGAGCCCTGCCATGCAGTCACTGGTGCAAAAGGACTGAGGGCTTTTTGTTGGTCCCCTCAGCAAAGCACACGACTCAGTTACTCACCAGGGGTGCATCCAGTGGGTGTCAGTGGGTTTCCTGCAGTGTCCTGCAGCACCCAGTGTGTGTTTAGAGACAATTTGATGGTCTGGATGGAGACACAGTTTTGATTTAAGTGCTTAAGAGAAGGCGACAGGCTAGCTCTAACCTTCTGTGAACTGTCCATGCTCACAAAATTAAGTTGCTGTGTCCTGCTGATTACAGCTTTCATCTGGGGGTTAACTTGTGAGAATACAGAGGTCATTTTATCATCACATCTGCTCTGGTTGTGGAGAAAATATTCCCTTCCCGTACAAAGATGAAAACTGTATTCTCTCAAACAAAATTTTTGCACTAAATTGTGTACAAGGAATAGTAGCTAGTTTGAGTAGAGATTGCAATTGAAAATACAGTTCAGGCCAGGGATGGATGAGTGGGAGGACCCTGCTGGAGGTGGATGAGGACTGGCAGCAGTAAAGTGACTTGCACATGTATGCAGTGACACGCAGGGGAAGAGGGTATTGTGTGCTAGGACGCAAGTGCTGGACAAATCACCCAAATTATCATGAAAAGCATGATACCATACACTGGCTCAAATTCTGATGGCCCTCTTGGTTCCAACAAATTTTCATAAATTGCATGTGAAAGAAGCGCTCCCTTTTCTGCAGTAGGGATGGCTGAGGCAGTGTTTCTGCCCAGCCGTTCGGGTTACACCGTGTGCAGTGTCCTGACTCTGTTTCTCTCCGCAGATGGCCGCAGCCCCATGTGCCGAGCAGCCCCTTTCTGAGGGAGGGATGGCTGAGGCAGTGTCTGCCCAGCCGTTCGGGTTACACCGTGTGCAGTGTCCTGACTCTGTTTCTCTCCCCAGATGGCCGCAGCCCCATGTGCCGAGCAGCCCCTTTCTGCAGTAGGGATGGCTGAGGCAGTGTTTCTGCCCAGCCGTTCGGGTTACAGCGTGTGCAGTGTGGCTGACATCGGCTGTTTCTCTCCCCAGATGGCCGCAGCCCCATGTGCCGAGCAGCCCGGGCCCGCGCTGGCCGTGAGGGCCGCAGCCAGGCGCTGTCCCTGAGGCGAGGAGCGCAGGCACCGCCATGGCCTCATCACGCCGGGCCCGGCACGCCGACCCTCCCGACGGAGGCTGGGGATGGATGATTGTTGCTGGCTGCTTTCTCGTCACGATCTGCACCAGGGCCGTGACAAGGTAAAGGCACTGCTGCTTGTCTTGCTGGCCTCTTTGTGGCATTAGCTTTTTTTTTCTTTTCTGCCTTAGGAAGAAGGTTTGTTATCTCCTGAAACCCCTAAGGCTGCGGGGGCGACCAAGGGATTATGAGCCCTCTGGCTTTAGTCTCGCCTCCTCTGACAGCTGCTCCAGCTTTCAGCACCCGCTCCCTGATTTCTTACAGAATCAAGGCCAGGGGCAGGTAGAGCTATTTCAGGCTGTGGTGGTTTGCTGGGGAGGGAGGAATCATGTGGGGTCTCTTTGGGTTCACTGTGTCACTCCGAGCCCTTAGCCATGCTCATTTTTGCCAGTCTCAGTGAATGTACATGACTCCTGAGTCAATGTGAAAATCATGTAAATACCCCCTTCTCCTACTGTGAGCGTCTCAGGTACTGTCCTGACTGAGAATGTCCAAGCCCTAGAGAAGAGACCCCTCTCTGCACCCTTCTGGTATCCAAAATATGCAGAAAATATTTTCTCGAAATAGGAAGAGAGAATAGGAGAAGAGAATAGGAGAGAACAAGAGCTAGACTGCTGCCTCACATAAAAATAATGCAATCTGGGACGAGATTGCTTTCACAGTGACTTTGATGTCGACTGGAGGTAGAGGAGCCTGGTTTGTGTGAACATGGACAATTTAGCTATATTAAGCAGAGAGTTAAGCACCCTGGTAAATGAAGAAAACTGAAAGAGTGTCTTGTTGGGCAGTCAAGTATAATGTAAATACAGTGTTTCCTACCTAAAGTTCTTATTTCTTTCAAAATAAAGCTGCCAGATTTAGGGATCTTAAATCTTTAGGGATCTAGGGTCTTGGAGTCAACAGCAGAGAAGGGGATAGAAACACTTATACAGTGTTAGTTAATGCATACAAATATACCAATTCCATAATAATAGCAGAGAATTCCTAGTGGATTTAATTCTGTGTTCATGTGTGCAATGTGTTACATACATGAAATTATCTAATGGCTGGCACACATTAGACTACATAGAAGAGTGAAATATGTGCAAGATAAAAAGCTGAAGAAAGTGGTCATTCACTGATTTGGGAAAAGGCATCTCTTGATCCAGAAAAGAGAATGAAGTTATGCAGCCTTTAACCTGTTCTGCTGCACAGACATATTGAACAGTAACACTTGTCAAGTTGAGAAAGGACCTCTCCTGGAAACATTTTATTAAACTGCTGGAAGGTCCACAGGCTCCTGCTGTGTTTTGATTCTGTTTGAGAGAGTTACTTAGCGCTTGTCCATCTATGAGCACACAGCTGCAGGTGGGGTTTGTTTTGCAGGTGTGTTACATTGACCCTCCCCTCACAGTTTGTGCGGGTGTGGGATAGTGAGCAACAGGGCCAGTGAAGAACTGTGAAGCCAGGGCTTTGTGTGCCAGGGAAGAACATCATCATATGGGCTATAAGTTGCTGGGGAGAATTAGCATTTCAATTTCCTTTTAGTTCAAACTACTCTGAGTCATAAAATCTCTAGCAGCAGATACCCCAGCAAGAAACATGTGATATTACAATGTTCACAACCACCATTTTGATTTTCCCAGGAGCTGGAGAGGACCTTCAAGTGGATACTTTTTATACCTGAAGAGTGAGAACAGTGTTTTCCGTGAGGCGAATATTCCATGTTTAACAGACTTGTGTTCATGTTTTCTGTCCTAGGTGTATCTCCATTTTTTTTGTGGAGTTTCAGGCATACTTTGGGCAGGATTATGCCAGAACTGCTTGGATCCACTCCATTGTGGACTGTGCTACGATGCTTTGTGGTGTGTATTACCCTTTCAAGAGTAATATGGCTACTTTTGCATTGGCTCCATCTGTTTTTAGCATGCTCACAAGTTGGTGGTGTCACCTGGGAGTGATACTGTGGGATCTCTGGGGTGTGGTATATCCAAGCTGCTTCCTCCAACACAGTTGTGCAAGGGAGTGTCTTCATACTAAAGAAAAGAAGCAGAACTTTGTTTTGTGAAATGATCTAATTTTTCAGAAATGTACTTTTGTTCAGGTCTATTGGGACACCTCATGTTTGAGAGCTATTAACTGAGCAATTGTTTCTTTTGCCTTTTGATTGGAGTCATATTTGAGATGTAGCACAGGATGTACATCTTGCCTCCAGATCAAGTCACAACCATCCTCCTTTTATCAAAAGTGCATATTTACAAATAGTCTTCTCTCTTAAAAGAAAATTTGCTATTATTAAAAATCATGTGCATCAACGCAGCAGTTGTACTGAATTTCTCATGGGTTTGCTTTAAAGCTGTACAGCTTGGTGAAAATCCATGCCCTAGTCCTGTAGAAGAGGTTAATCCATAAGAGTTGCTAGAAAGGCAGAGGGGCACAGCAAGAATGAGATGCAACAACTTGCTTGTGATAGCCAGGTTATATCTTGGGGAAAAGACAGAAATAGGGGTAACCTTGCCCTGACATTGCAGGTAGTAGAAGGGGAGAGGGTTGCTGATGGCATCCCATGGTAAAGCAGGGTGATATGGGAGACATTGGTGTTGGAGAAATGCAGGAGAAGGGTAGCAACCCTGGAGATTGTCCAAAAGATGTGAGACCTCTCCTGTTTGGGTCTAACCCAGAGCCCACAGGGCCTGGGAGTTGTGAGGAAGGACACCTAAAGTTACTGAGGGCTGAAGTGCAAATTCCAGATGGGGAAAAGTCTGAGTGTTGTAAGCATGGAGTAATGAACAGTGTGGGCTGTTCCTGTGAGCTGTCTTGACCCCCTGAGACTGCAGATTAGCTGTGTTCCATAATGACTTTGATCTACAGGAATGGCTGCTGAGAAAGGTACTGTAAATTTTAGGTTTATCCTGACTTTGAGGGAAAAGACTTTTAGAAGTTTTTTTCTTTATATTTGGCTCATGCCATTGTGACAGGATTATGTTGGAAGACCACTCTGGAGCTGCAAACACCATTTTCTCCTGCTTCCTCCTGCTTCCTTTTCTTTTCTAACTGTTGCAGTGAACTGTGTGTGAGGACCTGCCATTAACTACCAGCTTTATTTGTTTCTTTGAAGCCCCACTTGGAAGTTTAATCAGTAATCATGTATCCTGCCAAGTTGGTATCATGCTAGGAGGGCTGCTTGCATCTACTGGACTAATTCTGAGCTCATTCGCCACCAGTCTGGAACATCTCTACTTATCATTAGGAGTCCTCACAGGTAGGATGCATTCAGCCCCTTTGTTGCTGCCAGAACACAAGACAGGAATGCTAAAAACAATGGGTGATCTCTTCTCCATGTCATATTGACACTGCACTGGTCAAATAGAGATACTCAGACCTGTTCCCATGGTTGTAGACAAGAGGCTGTGCCAGTGAGAGCTTCAGCACTGACTAATCTCATATCACATATCTGACTGATATCACATATCACTGACTGATCTCATATCACCCTGCAAAACCAACCTTACCTTCTATTGGAGAGAGGACTGTCAATAAAGTTCTGAAGTTATGGGAGGTCAGGAAGAACTGCTGTTGCAGTTGGTATACATGAAAAGGTTTCCCTGTTTTGTCTGGGATTTGGGAGGAGTTTGTTATAGCAGAAGTTCTAGATTGCCCTAATATATTTGCATATTTGGGAAAAAAGTTTAAACTAAAACATAAATGTAAGTAAGAATAGAGGAGCTCTTGGTGAATACCAGGCACCTCAGCTGTATGTCTTACTTTTGTCTGCATTACATTCCAGTTGAACAGCAAAAAAAAATTGCTGGTTGGTAGTCTTGCTGTAGCAGCTCCTCCATTTTTGCTCAGGTATGGTGAAAACAAATCTTTGCTCTGTCCTATCTGCCTGTGTTTGTTGTGCACAGAGGAACTTGAGAGGGGCCTGTGGTCACACTGACATTCCTTCCTCATTAATACTGACCTGGTAGCCAGGGTGATAAAAGACCTTGTACTTGGTCCCCTGGAGTTTAGTAACGAGTTGCTGGAATTACTGCAGTTCACATGCTGCCAACAGCTTATTTGTTTAAAAAAAAATAAAAAATCCTTATTTTAGCGCCTGTTGCTCCTGTATTACAATGTTAATCTTTGACAAAATGTGTTCATAACAAATAAAAAGGCTTCTTGTAATTCGAGGGACTGTGCTACAAACCACACTAATACCTCTGAGGCTTCTTTAGTGGGAGCTGCTGTGAATACCGAGGTGGAAAAGCAGTTACAACTTTTACACGGAGTAGTAAAGAGCCAAGTTCATTACAAGCAGTGAACTTTTAGCCTGTGGGGGCTGATTTACAGAGAGGTGAACTGTTGGTAAAGGCTAGATGAGGTGCCCCCAACCCAGAGAGCAGATGGGAACACAACAAGTGAATGTCTAAATCCATAAAAGCAACAGGACTTGAAACCAAAGAGTGAAGCAGAGGTGAGACTGGGGAGTGTCAATAAGTAGCAGAGTTCCTTCTAAGAGGTATGAAAATGTTTTCAGCCCTATACTTTCCACTTTTCACAGGACATTTGTTGGCTTTTTTGAGACCTATTTCCCCCTGCCAACTCACTGAAAAATAAATGGTGTGTATGCCTAATAAAGTATGATTTTCATAGCTCTTTAGTGATGATGTCTAGCTCAGGGCTGCTCTGCTGGCTCTGCTGCCTGTACAGGTCCAAGCCCAGCTCTGTGCCCTGCTTGTCCCCTCGCCTCCTGAGGGGTGCCAGACTGGGCACCCGCTGCCCAGAGTCCCTCTAATCCTCTTATTCCATCTTGGCAGGTTTAGTGCCTGCCCCACACAGTGTGGCCTTTGAGGAGGATGTGGCAAGCCAGTTACAGCACTGGGGACTGTTTTATCCTCTATCAGCAAGTTCTGCCAAAGGCAACTGGGGACTGTTTCACCCTCAATGTAGGACATGCTCCAAAACCCTAGTCAGGAACTAATTTCTATTACTGATTCAGAAATACATATTTTAGTGTTAGGGCAACCACTTGATGATTAAAACCTGCTCTCTGATTCTGCAGCAGAGACCACAATCTTTTTCTCCATCCAAGAGATGAATCTTATTTGTTTACTCAACTGGATCTGGCTTTCTGAGGCTTTCCTCCCCTCTTTACTTGTAGGCAGGGATTTAAAATGGTCAGGACTCCAAGCAGCTGTTGCAAGGAGTTTGTTTAGCCGACCAAGAGAGGTTTTTTGTAGAATATTAGTAACAGAGACAGGCTCTTTGTACTCTGTTTCAGAGACCTGAAAATTAATGTTCAGGGTTGCAACAGACCAAAACACAAAGTGGTGCCTCATCAGGACAGCATGTCCAGTGCCAGCATTGGTGCAGACCCTGGGGCAAGACCTCATCTTGTATGCATGAGAGGCTGGCACACCAGTTCTCTCATGTTTAGTGATCCTCCTTGTTCTTGTTATGAAGTGAACCCCATCACTTCTGCCTGAGTCTTATTATTGTGGCTTAATGGTCATCAGTTAGGTTTGTCAAGTCAGGGACCCTGCCAGTGGAAGAAAGACGTCATCCTAGTTTCTCATCACACTCAGACTGGGATGCGTGATACAGAATCAAAAAAACTTTCTATTCTTTTGTACTAATGAAAATGCATTATGTGGTTTGCTTTAATATGTTCCATATGTCATGCTTAGTATTAAGCCATCTGCACTTTGCTTTCTCTTCTAGGACTTGGGTTTGCACTTTGCTATTCTCCAGCCATTGCGATGGTGGGCAAATACTTCAACAAAAGGAAAGCGCTGGCGTATGGAATCGCCATGTCAGGAAGTGGAATTGGTACCTTCATCCTGGCCCCTGTGGTCCAGCTCTTAATTGAGCAGTTTTCCTGGCGAGGAGCTTTGCTCATCCTGGGAGGTTTTGTACTAAACCTCTGTGTCTGTGGTGCCTTGATGCGGCCTATTTCTCTTAAGGAGGATTGTAAAACTGCTCCTGAGTTGTTTGAACAGAATTATGTCCCTGAAACAGAGAAACAAGACTTAAAGCGAATGTCCATCTGTTCACCTTTAATCAAATTATGGCCTCATGAATGTTTATGCTACTGTTCATGGAAGGAATATGACTTTTTGCTGATGCCAGGCTTCATGGTGCTGGCAGTGTCAATTTTATTTATGGCATATGGCTGCAGCCCTCTTTTTGTCTACCTAGTGCCTTATGCTTTGAGTGTTGGAGTGAGTCATCACCAGGCTGCCTTCCTCATGTCAATACTTGGTGTCATAGACATCATTGGTAATATCACCTTTGGATGGCTTACAGACAGAAGGTAAGGGCTTCTGGCTGATCAAGGGGAACCTTTAGCTGGTGGGAGGCTGGATGCAAGCAAGGTATAATACATATAAAACTTAACATTTTGTACTCTTTCTCTAGCATGTGTAACTTAAAAACTCCCAACAACAGAGTCTAACTTTCAGGAATGCTTGCTGTTTCATCTTTTTGTCTATTCTGAAATTGTTCAATTGGTTTAATATCCTTTTTTCCTGAAAAAACGATGTGTTTGTATATTTGATAGTGGAAATGTAACCCCTTGCCTGAGGTATGTTGAGTGTGATTCTCCATATCTATTTCCAAGGGGGTTTCACTATGTTTCCTCTGCTTTTCCATCTCTTTTGTGCTGCTCGGGAGGCACAGAAGTTATGGAAGAGGGTGCAGGGTCTGGCCCAATCTTGTCAGGCACATGCTAGGAAGGACTGACTGAAAATTGTTATACATTTTCCAGTATATAAGAACTCACCATGCGTTATGAACTCAGCTCACTCCGAACATCAGTGTACAGCATCTGTAACATCAGTAGATACTGGCCAAATTGGCAAGGATTTTGATTCTAAAGGATGCATTCTTTACACTTCTTTAGTTTGTGGGAGAAATCAATTATTGTTTTTGTGAAGCAGGAAGGAAGGGAATTGCCATCTCACTTAACTCACACTAACTCGCATTTAAGGGCTGACTGGAAAGGTGACAGCCAAGAGAGGTGTACTGAAATATTTTAGGCATAATGCTGGGAGCACCTTGCTGAGCTGGGATGTAAAGCCCAATGAAATACTGCTTGGAACATTGAAACTTTATGGGTCTGCAAAATCCTGGCAGCAGGGTTCTGTCACTAGAAACATCCTGAAGAACACTGCAGGCACTAGGCTGCTGCTGGCCAGATGTTTCTGCAGCTGTAGGTGGGCAGCTTTCCTGACCTGGGCTTGTCTGCTGAGTGAAGGCTTGTGTAAGGCAATTGACTTAATCTGAGCCATAGAAAAGAGAGAGAGAGACTGAAGCACTGCAAGTCAGGGCATAGAAGCTGAAATGCTGGTTTCAGTGAAAATATTTTTCTTTTCTGTTTTGAAATTTGCAGGTGCCTGAAGAAACACCGGTACTTTTGCTACCTCTTTGCTGTGGGAATGGATGGCCTCTCTTGTCTTTTCCTGCCAGTTCTCCAGAGCTTCCCCTTGCTTGTGCCTTTCTCATTTACCTTTGGCTACTTTGATGGAGCCTATGTAACGCTGATCCCTGTTGTGACAGCAGATGCAGTGGGGACTCCTTTGTTATCATCAGCACTGGGGGTTGTGTATTTTCTTCATGCCATACCATATCTAGTGAGCCCACCTGTGGCAGGTCAGTTTTGCCAAATGACTTCCCTATAACCTTATCAGTACTTCAGATTTACCTATTGCTGTGATGTAAAGGGGAAGGAAGGATAGCAAATGTACAGTGAATACAGTGAATGTGAAGGCAACCTCTGGGTAAAGGAATAACACACCTGGACATTCATAACTCTTTAAATTTCCCATCCTAGCCTCGGTGGGATGATTTCTACATACAGAGTGAGATGAAATTTAAAAAACAAACCAGTATGAAATAGGCTTCTAAGAGCTGCTACATCACCACTTCACATAGTTTACAAACTCTGCAAGTAGAAGGAGTAAAAGATTCCACTGTGAAATTACATGATTTTCTAAAATCTAAATCTCTCTAAAGAGAGTTTAATTCCAAGATTGTCTTTCTTTTATGTTTTCGTTTTGTATTTAGTCTCTACATTGCTTTGAACAGGTGGGTGAGTCAGCTCCACTCCTGTTTGGTCATAAACTCATCCGTGTAATATCTAGCCATCATTTTTCCCATCTGTACCATTACAGTGAAGTAAGGATGAGAGCTGTACCCTTATTATTCTTTAGAAAGCACTTGACACAGTTTTTAATACTGTGGAAGCTCTGAGATCTTTTTCAAACAACCAACTATATATATCTTGCATATTTTGTAAATTGATGTTTACATCAATTCCCAATTAATCACTGCTCATTAAGCTTTTACTTTAATTTTGCATAGCAAAAATTATTGCAAAATAGAATTGTTTTGAGTGAAGCATGAGCCTGGCCACAGCTTAATAAGTATTTCTGCATGAAGATCTTAGAGTTCCCTAAGTCTTCTAAAGACTGCCAGTTAAATCCAGGCAGTTGGAAGATCTTTATTTAGTAGCGTGGTGATGACTGCTCTGCCTGTTCTTGTGGATTTGACCTCCAAACAAAAGGCTGTAAAGATATTATTTGCCTGCTGAGAATAAATCCCTCTCTGCACCAAGATGTAAAAGTATAGTGATGGTGATGTAAATATGTATTATTTGATTGTTTTTATATGTGATAACTCCAAAAGTTTATGACTGGGTAACAGGATTTGTAAATTATCCACGAGAATACCAGTGGACCTCTAAATATTTTTTTTTTTCCCTACAGGCTGGCTTGTGGACACAACTGGCAGCTATACTGCATCATTTCTCCTGTGTGGATTTTCTATGATGTTTAGTTCAGCACTATTGTGCTTTGCAAGACTAGCAAAGAAAATCAAAAGAACACATTTGCCATCCCTCACTGGTAACACAGCCTTGAAACAGCACATCTGGACAAATGGAGCAATAGCTTATTCTGTCACAGCAGAATTAGACCAAAGGGATGTTGAATTTTTGGCTGTGGATACAAACAGCTTCAGCAACAGGTGACAAGTGCTGGCACAACCTGAGACAGATGTGGCTCAGTGGTGTTACACTGTTGAATATACTTCTCCTGTGAAACAAGACCTCTCAATTAGATTGTTCTGTCATGTTTTAGTTGGCTTAAATCTACATACAGCAACAGTAATACCAAGTTAATGCAGTAATAGAAGAAAGCTAGACTGAAAATAGAGTTTGTAGATACAAGTGTTCACAGATTTATTTGAAATGCAATGTTGACTCCACAGGGATCAGTCACCGAAACTGAACAATAACATTTACATTAAAAATACTATTAATGACCCAAGCTTTTTCATTTTGTGGTCTAGTATGTTTCAATGGACTAATTATACACACCATGAAAAAATCTCTGCATTTATCAGTCTGCATGAAACTCTTTGCAATGAGTGTTTCAAAAGCCAAAGTCATCTGTTTGTTTTGCTTTTGTTGTTTTTTTTTGTTTTGGTTTGATTTTGTTTTGCTTTCTTTTTCTAAGAAAATCTGGCAGGAAACTGATTTATGCTGAAAGTATCTTTGGAGCAGCTTTAATTTTTACAATGTGCCTGAACTTTGTACATACATTTCAATTTAATTTCAAATATGGTTTTAGACCTGCTTTCCCACATGCTCTATAGCAAATTTTACTTTTTCCTTTTTTCTTCTGGATACCTTTAAAATTTGAACTTCTAAACAATGACATTCTGGGTATGATCTTTCAGCTGATCCTTGTCTTGGAGGGTGGAAAATATGCTGTGGTGGTTCTACTTATCTTAAGAGGAATAAATTTGTGCCATGGGACCAGGCATGCTGATAGACAAATGTGCTTTAAGTGCATTAGTTGGAAGAAGCCCAAAGACAGCCCATGAGACCAGAGAGGCTCCTGTATTTTCAAACACAGAGCCTCTTCCTCTTGTAAAATCAGCACCTATTAGAGAACTTTAGAGTCCATGCAACCAGATGGCTGAGAGAGTGCCCACCCCACGGGCTGATAATGGAGAGGATGTTGGCAGAATTGTTTCTGTGTATTGCAGTGGCAAGTTTGTCTCTTTTCACACCCAGAAACTGCATCTTCAGGTGGTGCCAATTGCTCATTTGTACCATCTGAGGAGTTGTCAGGTCACTTTTCCTTGATGGCCAGAACACAAGAGCTGTGACTTGCTGACAGTTTCCTGCTGCTTGTGTGAGGAATATACTCCAGTTGGCTGCTTCACAGGAGCTAGGGAGTGAATGTAGCTCATGGAGTAACTTACTGATGTGATGGTCTAATCAATACTGTGATTTTCTACATTTACAGAGTGAACACATTGTCTGCAATGGAAAACTTCACATTCCACATTCCATTCAGTACAAATAGTTTCAGTGTTTTAATGCTGTATCAAGCTGTATTCTGTTCATTAAGAAATTGATCAGAGTCTAAATAATTTTCACTTACACTGAACTGGTAGTTTTGTTAGTCTGCAGTGTGTTCAATGGCTGCTCGTGGTGTCCTTTTCCACTCTGTGCCTTGGAAGTGAAAGCAACATAGACTGATGTTGATCAATTTGATATAGACCAAGAGTACAGCCACAGGAGTATAATGTATTTTATATATACACACAGACATATATATGAATAACATGTGTATCAAGTAGTTTTGTTATCCAAGTGTATTTTAAATACAACATATTAAAATCATTTGTGTTTAAATGAAGCCTTTCTTGCTGTCCTGCTTCAGGAATGTAGTCAGAGCCAGTAGCATGATCTATGTGCACAGACCACAGAATAAGCAAGAGCAGTGCAAAATCTTCTTAAAGCCAATCACATAACTTTTCTTCAGCTCAGCATGAAAATTGACTCTTGGACCCAGTTTAGTTTTTAACATATATTAATAAAAAAACCCAAAAATTATCCATGGGTGTTTCTTAATGAGTTAGGAAAAATATGCACATGTGGAAAAAAACGAATTGGTTTTATTAATTAGTACTGATGAAGATAATGTTTTAGATCTTAATACAATATTTTAATATTTTAAAAAGTAGGGAATAGTGTGGTCAATCAAAAATACAATTTTTTGGAACAAGTTATAAATTACCACCGTAAATAAATTTACAAAAATTTAATTACTTTGTTTCTCACATCACAACACATCATGGAACTGCATATTGTAAAAGCCTGTTAGAATAATGCTATATGCATTTTTATAATAGTAAATTATACTGTGTAATATGTTATTAGCATTTTCTTATTATTTCAAGATTTTTTTCATATGCTTTTCCCTTTATGTTTTTTAAGTACTACTTATTGTTTGAAATATCTTATTTAGCAACAAACATTCAACTGGTTTTATTCACAGACCTTTTGTAGAAAATGGTAAAATTCTTTCAGGACTTTCCAGTACTGTTTCTGCTCTGACTTAAGGCAATGGAGAAAAGCTTATATACTGCAATAAAGACTTCTGTGCATAAAGCACACTGTGAAATATCAGCCCTGTCATGAATGCCCCCACTAAGAAACAGAAGGAAAGAAGCGTAGCAGGAAATGACCTGCAAGTGGAAGAAATGGGAATGCAATCCAGGCTGGTGAAGCCTCAGGCCAAACTTCTAGCTCCTGCTCCACAGAACCCAGGCTGAACAGATCACCTTCATCCTGCCATGTGAAATATTTCAGGCAATGCATTACAGAAATCTCTGGCTCACAATGGTTTTAAAGAATGATTTATGGTATTGGCAATATTTTTTTTCAGAGATGACAATATTCAGGCTGTCCTCCATGGAGGACATTTCCTGGCATTGCTTAGTATGGGAATAAATCAAGATACCAGAGCTAGCTGTGAACAATTTGCCAGATGAACGCTGCATGTTTGAGGATTTAGGGGTCTTTTCCTCCCTTAACTATCCTGTAATTCTATGTTCCCACCAGCCCTGATGGACACAAGCATTGATGGGTATGAGCTCAGCTGGAGCACTGCACTGCTGAGCCTGTCTGGCTCCCCAGGAGAGCGTGGTGGGACTTGGCTTGGGGTAACATCTGTCCAACAGATCCTACCTCAGATGGATCCTACCTGGCGTTATGCTCTCTTCTGTGCAGTGGATGGAAGTTCAGTGTAAGTAAGTGAAACTGCTCACAGCTGCTGAAGTTATCCCATGTGTCTCCATTCCACGGGGTTTGAAATGGGGAAATAATAAATATTTTGAAATTATTTATTTTCTAGTGATAATCTGGAACATTTAATAAATTGTACCTTGGAAAGTTGTGTGAAAACAACATTGGAAAAGTCAAGTACCTTCTGTTGAAAAATGACTCTTTTTTCAGAAAAAATATTCTTGAAACATTCCTATCAGCTTGGGTAATAATTTACCTCTGGAAAGACAAAGGCTGTGTTACTAAATGGTGAATGTATTTTATATTGTCAAACATTATTTCTTTGTAAAGTGTTAAAAATTTATGTGAGAAGCAAGAGCTTGTTTAACTTAAACTGTAGCACTACTTCATAGTCAGCATGGCAAAGTCCTTAGTGGGGTTTGCCTCAATAAATAATACCTTCTTCTTAGTGATTGTTCGGTTGTACTTCAGTAAAATTTTATATATACTTTAGAAGGTGCTTTTGAGTCATAAATTGATACTTCCTGAAGTGTTATTTTCAGTCATTTTTCCCCTACGCAGCTAGCATCAGCTTCAGTGATGTATGCATACTTGGGTGTGAATTAATTGACAGTGTGTTCAGCCTCTGTGCAGTTCTAGTTTTGCCCAAAACCCCCACATATTTCTCAAAAATGTGTATTTCATTTTCTCTAACTCCCGAAGCTCCGACTCAACCTGCTCCCCATGTCGGCATGCCAGGCAATGCAGCAGCACCACCCTGTGGGAAATAAGGTTTTTTCTCATTTACAAGACAGGCAAAATCCAGAAGGCTGGATACCTGGGAGCATCCCCAGGCATCTGTGCTCCAGAACTGTCCTGCAGAGTACAAAGGAGGTGAGGCACAACTTTTTGCATTACTGTGTCTCACAGTTTCTTCACTGTGCAGATCGAGCTGCTATGACTCTTCATAAAAATTCAGGCTCCCTTTTTTTTTTCCAAAATAATTTATACCTTATCCTTATTTCTTCAAGGTTCTTTTTTCAGGAGATATTCTGCTGGCAGTGTAGAGGGGAGGATGGATGTGTCACCATGGCTTGCACCACCTCTTCCTCAAATTCTTCTCTGCTGCCCTCCACCCTTCATGCCCTCAGTGGAGTTTAGATAGCACTGATGCTGAGTTTAGAAGCCCTCAAGATTCACCAAGGCAGTGAGGTTGTCTAACAGACCCTTTTGTCCCCATAGCTGGGCACACCAATGTCATGTCACCAGTTCCTGACTTTGCCCCCACTGCTGTTGCAGCCAGCTTTCAGGAGAGGTCTGCCAGAACTGTTCCCAGTCCCCCTCTTCTCCCTCCTCACCACTCCTTCCCTAGGCAGGGTTGCCTTTGTATGAAACAGAGAATCTGGCAGGTGGCTGGGAAACAAGGGTGGATTTTGCTCCAGCTGGTTCTTAGGAAGAAGGTGTTTGCAATTATGTACACTTCATTGCTTTTGCTCATGTTATGAAAGATTCTCTGGAGAGCTGAGAAGGAAGAGGTTTATTGTTATTTTGTGATCTGGCATCGGTGTTTTGCACTCCTTCATGGCTTGTCATCCTGTCTGTATGGGGGTGCTGTTGTGGGTGCAGGAATGCTCCAGGATGGCTAGAAATTAAAGTGCACATCCTTCTTGATGGGCTCTGTCACCAGTTTGCTTCATGCTACACTAGTGGCTAGGGCTCAGAAGCATTTTGGAAGTAGAGCATTAGTTTTCCCTGAGGACTATGCACTATCAAACACAGGGACACTACTGGGAAATCAGAAAAGGATAGTACAAACAATAGAAAAATTTAGTTGGACAGCTGAAGACTTTTGGCATTTCAGTGCTTTCTTCCAACTATATAGACTCTATGGGCAACTGTAGAGGCTCAAAGTCCTGCCACTGAAATGACAGCACCTTAACCTCCGAGGAGCAGAAACAAGTGAGGGGAAACATCCCTCTTATGTTAGGGTGAGAAAAGCCTCCCTCCCATGGGCCTCTGCAGGCACATGTTAATATTTCCAGTTTCATTGGCTCTCCCAGTTGTTCCACCCCCATTCAGCCCCAGTTCACCATATATGTATATCCCCTAGAATGTTCTCCCCTTTCTCAATCCCTATTGGCCCCAGTTTGCTGCAGTGTTCTGCCCCTGTTATCCTACTGGTTCCCCTAGTTTGCTGCCCCTCCCCTGCACCACTTGTCCCTGTTCCCATTGGTCCTCAGCCCTCAGAGCCACCCCTTTCCCCCCCGTATTTAACCCTGTACCTTCCACCCTCTTCTGTCTCCATCTGTGGACCTTCTTGGG